CCAAAATAGCTTGTATTCATTTATGCACAGTGGTTCACTTTCAACAAGCTGCCCACCTCTGCCCTGCTTATAGCCTAATTCTTAAGATACTTCCCTGAAACACAGGGTTTGAAACATGCCTCCCATTTATTTCCTAAGCAACCACTGCAGTCAAATAAGCTCTCATAAAAAAACACAAGGATCTTCTTTTAAATTAAAAGATAGCTTGCAGAGAAAAAGAAAGCAGTCCAATTATCTGCATCTATCATTAATTCCAGGATATTCCAGAGCCATTATAGAAATGCCAGGCAGGGGGCGAAAGATATCACATCAGTGACAAAAGCAGATATTTAGCCAAGTCCCTGCTTGATTATTCCTGATTTCACTCAGCATGCTGGCCACTGTCATAGAATCATAGAATCATTAAGGTTGGAAAAGACTTCTAAGATCATCGAATCCAACCGTCACATACCATCGTTCACATACGCCTTCCTCCCTTCTCAGCACAGTGGACAAAGCTTAGTGAATGCCACTTCTGAACCAAATACCTAACCTTCAGGCTTTTGCTACAGGCTTGTACTGCCTTCTGTGAATCTGACCCAAACTCATTTTTCCTGAAGCCACAGACCAACCAAAAATACATGCCTCCTGAATTCCAGATCAGATCCTTGCCACCAGATCCATTCTACCTTCCAGAACAGCAGAACCTTTTTCGAAAATGTCACTACCAACAGCCTCAAAGTGTCTCATCTCCCACAGAAAAGTAATGGTCCCATCTAAATAATAACTAAATGCTTAAAATAAAGAGAGGATAATGGAAACCAAACTGACTATTCAAAATGCCACTAGCTGCATAATAAGAAGCCTTCAGGGGCTTTTTAGTCCCAGGCTACTTAAGGATACTACCCTTTAGGGGTTTTTGGTAGAAACTTACAATACAGATAAAGCAAGATATTTTCTTGTAAAAATCAGCAGGACCAGTATGACTAAAGGAGTCTATAAAAATATACACAACAAACATAAGTACTAGAAAGAAATCAGTATTACATTTGTTATTCCAATTGCAAATAATACATGTAAAATAGAGAAGGGTAGTAGGAATTTCAGTTGTAATTCTGTTACTCAACTTGCTCCCTTCTTTCAAGATTTTAAACTAAATATCAGAGTCACTGCAGTGAAGGCTGCTATTGACCTTCACATCCACAACCTCTTCCTCATTGTACATGCATCACAGATCTAGCTGGCTCATCGATCACATACATCAACAAACTGTCTTCAGCACAGCCCAGATGTCTTTTGAAAGGGCAACATGATGGGATGTGAATAATCCAGAATATTTCAGAATTTTTAAAGTCACCCAGGGCCTGTCCTGGTGAGGTTTCCTCCATCTGGAGGCTTTTGAGGCCTCTGCTACTTCCTGTTCTGATCAGATGATCTGTACCTACCGTATTGTTAGCCACCTTGGTCTCTTCTCCAACACTTGCCCCAAAACTCAACTGTCTCATGACCCATTCCAAGGAAAAGCCCCACCCACTCCAGTTCCATATCTTGGCTTAGACCACAATCCCTCCTACTCACCTTCCTGGTCTGTTTTTGCTTACAAATCTATATGCATCTATAGCAGCACTTCAATCATGTCCAGCTATCACGGTATCATAATTCTACCACACTCACCTAATTTAAACAAACTATATTGCAACTTAAAGTGCAATTGAATTAACAATTCAAAACAGTACACACTTGATATTTGCCAGTTTTAATTCTAAAAAAGGACTGCAATGGCAAGGAGTCAGGAGTTCACACTGATGCATAACAAAGCTGCTAACAGACATAAAGCACTGACAACCTCTATAATTTCATCCAAAAACTACAGCTGAAGCAAAAAGGAATGCACTTGACAGGACCAACTTTGTGCTTGAGATTTCACACCACAAAAAAAATTGCAGTGCAACCATCCACGGCAATGAATTTGGAAGAAAAGCAGAGTCAGTAGAGGAAACCTCAAACTCAGGTGGTATTTTTAGTTTGCCAGCAACAAGGCTCTTTCTTTAGACAATAATATAAAGCCTATTTACATAGTCAGGTCTTTGGTCAGTAATGAACAGTTTAAGCATATGCAGCAGTTAATTTAAATTAAATTATCAATCACTGCAAATGCCTGACAAACACTTAGTACTGGTGTGCTTTAATCTCAAAAAAGATGTCAAAAGGAAGAGATTCAAATCAACGTTCTATGCGTAAATCCCAAAAGTTGTTTTGTTTTTTTTTTTAATTATTACAAAATCTGGATATTAATTTTGATCCCGAGTATCCCTTTTCATCACAATTGAAATCAGGTTCCTAGCAAAAAAACCCTCAGTTTGAGCCTACCTCTCTATTTAGTAGCCATCCAATTCTAAAATATCGGTAATGTCTATAATAAAGCAATGTAGTATCTGTATACATTTAAAATTAATAATAAGAGTATAGCATAATCCAAAAAGTACTTACGACTGACAGTAAGCAAGGCGAAGTATGAAATGAGAGATATGGTCTTTTCTTCTTGCCTCATAATCATCCTCAGCTAAAGCCTACAGAACATATTATTATTATTTCAGAGAAATAATCTTTCCCAGATTAAAAATCCACAATTAATTTATCATTGCTGTTCAACAGTGTATTAACACTGATCTTTAAGACAATAAATGCAAGACTATTAAAGAAGGGGGCTGTGCTAAAGAAAGAAACCTATACTCTCAAAGAAAAACTACATCTCTGACAAAATGACAGAATTTAAGTTTTAGGAATAGTATTTCGTCACCTCTACTTTTATTCAAAATTCTTGAATGGTGTAAAGAAAATAAAGTGCAAGAGAGTTCCCTTTTTTGATTTTTACTTACTCTGTAAGGAAACTTAAGTTTCCGGAGCTCAGCCTCCAGCTTAGTTTTGTATGAATCACTACTTCTTACATAGCTCACACCAAGGTTTTCAACTACTTTGAGCACTGGGAAAAAAAAGAAAAAGTCCACGTTAGAGACACCATATTGAAATGAAATCTAACTGTATCATGACTTGGGAAATGCACAAACTGGGCTAAGGCCACAGAAATTGCTTTTAGTGGTGTGGGGAGCAAAGGGGTAAGAAATACGGAGGATAAGGTGTGGCCCACAAGTCCTGAACAGGTCGCCCAACTCTGGGATCCATATGGTCAACAAGGAAAGGGAGACAGCTAACTGGTGCACCAGTCTCAGAACATTGATTTCCACTGTAATGACGGAAACCTTGGATTCAGTGGTTTTCAGGAGTTCAGGGGAACCCTCGCGCCCAGCCGCAACGATCTGAATCGCTGAGAGATATCAAATATGTCGCAAGACCTAGAAAGCGAAACACGCTCATAAACACCACCAGTGTAAACCAGGCCTATACAGTCCTGCCTGCTATACACCGGACGCTCGTTGTGAAATCAGCCACAGCTCTCTGAAATACCTAAAGCAACACGTTTTCCTTTAAAGGCAGTTCATTTCAGCGCGAGCAGGCAACCAGTTCACATCAATAACAGGCAAAGAGAGCATCGAAGCCCGCCAAAAATACATGCAGCCATGACAAGAAGAATCAAAAGCTTCGGGGGGGGGAAGGCGGGCCCGGCCGGGGACGCTACTCACGCTTCAGGCGGTCGATGGCAAAGCTCTCAAACTCCACCAGAGAGATGTTTTCCGTGGGGGGCTCCAGGTAGAACTGCAGGCTGTGAGGGTACAGCTC